GAGGGTGTGTGTAAGTCTGTCTGTCCCGGGGCCGTGGGCCTGGAGGGATGCCTGAGGGAGGGGCTGTGGGGCCTGGGCTGCTTCCCTCGGAGGGCCAAGTCCCTAGCTGGCTTCCCCACTGGGCGCGATCTGGCCGAATCCCTCCCCGGGTGATGGCGGCCGAGCCCTTGGAGCCCGGCCTGTCCCCACTGCACAAGGCCCAGGCAGGAGATGGGCTCTGAGCCTCAGAAAAGACCAGGACATCCTCGCAGGTCCCAGGCTTCACTGGGTGCTTTATTTACATGGGGAGGGGTGGCGGGTGCCAGCCTCCTGTGGACCGAGGCCCAGAGGGAGGCGCGGGCTGCTGAGGCCCAGCTCTCATTTACCCGGAGACCGGGAGATGGTCTTCTGCGTGAAGTGGTTGTGCAGGGCCTCGTGCATCACGGAGCAGGTGAAGCTGTCTCCTTTCTCCCACCTGCTCTTGTCTACTGGCAGCTTGCTGTAGAGGAAGTAGGACCCATCGGAGTCCAAGACGGGTGTGGTGCTCTTGTAGCTCTCCTCTGGCCGGCCATTGCTCCTCCATTCCACAAAGATATCCTCAGGGTAGAATCCTTGTGCCAAGCAGGTCAGGCTGAGCTTTGTGTTGGTCATCTGCTCCTTTGGTGGTGGCAAGACGTACACTTGTGGCTCTCGGGGTTGCCCTGTGGGGACAGAGGTCAGCAGAGGTCACTGCCGGGGCTGAGGGCTGTCCACGCCAGGCTCCGCCCTGTGGGCGTGGCCACCCGGCACTCTCAGCACATTGCTCCCACCTTTGACTTTGGAGATGGTTTTCTCAATGGGGACTGGGAGGTCGTTGTTCTTGACTTTGCACTTGAACTCCTTTCCCGACAGCCAGTCCTGGTGCCGGATGGGCAGGACGCTGACCACTCGGAGTGTGCTGTTGTACTGCTGTTCTGGGCGCTGGGTCTGGGCCTCGTGTACCTCCACATTGTCCATAAACCAGGTGATATCGGCCTTAGGGTTCTCCTGGCTCAGGTCTACTACCACACAGGTGACCTTGGGGGTCAGAGAAATCGTGAGGGTGTCCTGGGGCTTCGGGGGAAATATGAAGACAGATGGTCCTCCTACACAATTTTCTGTTGATGGAGAGATCGATAAGTTAGTGCTCTGCCAGGGCCAACCTCTTTAGGACAGCTTCAATGGGCCTTCCTTCCCTCCTGGTCTTACCTGGGCACTTGGGACATTCGGAAGGAGGCTTTTCTCTTGGCTCTGCAGAAACAAGGTTTTGGTTACTGGGGCAGAGGGAGGAGGAGCCACACAGAGCTGGGGAGATGGCCCTGGGGAAGGCTCGGGTCCCATGCTGACTGGGCCTGCTGTGGTCCTGGGCACCAGGAGACCCGTGTCCACCCTGTCTGTCCAGAGGGTCCGGAGGGCATGCACTGAGAACACCTCTTCCTGCCTGAGCGATGGGTGCAGATGCCTCCCATCACCTCTGGGGTCCTCTCCCTGGCTGGCGCTGTGCAAGCCTGGCTCCGGGGACCCTCCCTC